GTGACCAGAGGTCTTTCTGACCAAGAGAATTCACAGTCAAGGTTTGGACAGCAGGCAAGGTAGGGGCTTATGCCAATGTAGCCTCTAATGCACCTTGTCTGATACAGGGAAGTGAAATAACCTTGCACTTGTGTGTGCTAGGTGTGTGTGCAATAAGGAAAGTATCTTCAGAACTTAAAGGCCGTACGTAGAAAAGTCACGTGAGGTTTGTGCCTAATGATAAAACCTGAAAACAGGCAATTTTAAACATGGCTTAGGTTACTGATATCCCAAATTTAAAGAGCCTACTTCTTTTAGAAAATCAGGAAGGCTAGAAGATGATGGGCAAGTCTGTATTCTTTATTAGTTCGAAACACTATGTAACAGTATTGGTCATGGTCAAAGCTAATGTGTAACTAAGACGCAAACTAATATCTAGTGAGTTCTCATTGCCAAGCATTGTGTGTTTTGTGTCAGTTCATTCACACTCTAACCCTATTGGATAGGTATTATTAATATTCCACTATATAGATGAGGAAACTGAGGTTTGGACAGATTGAGCAGCTGGGTCTAAACACCCCAACTATTATAAAAGTGTTAAATATGCTTTAAAAATATGCAACTTTAAAAAAAATCTTGCTCTGGATTTATCAGTGATGAACTTTTCTCTAGATACACACGCCGTACTTGAGAATATGACCAGCAAATAACAAGAATATTTATATATAACTCTCCACATGGCAAGCAGGGCCCTAAGCTTTTTAGGTGTATGAATGGGTATAATCCTCACAACAGCGTGGTTTGCTAACCCCCATTTAAAGATGAGGAAGCCAAGTCACAGAGAGGTTAAGTAACTTACTCTAAGTCACACAGCTAATAACTGGAGCAGCTGAGATACAACCCTTGCGGCCTGGGTCCAGTCTGTGCTCAGAAGCTCATGCTTCAGTGTCCCAAGTAGAAATCTGGGCCATACTGAATCTACGTGGGGTCTGGCACCACCCAGCATGAAAGTGCCAGGGATATCCACTCTGCCAATCTTATCCACACAACAAAATAAGGATAGCTCAGTTGCAGGGGGACTGACATCGCTCTGCTTATGCCTTTAGCTGTGTTTGTACATTGACACATCACACTAGTAGAGATGAATGCCATTTTGAGTCCAACCCACCCTAGTACAATCACTTCCTGCAAAAGGGAACTAGCCTTAGACTTGGGCTGTGCTGGCGTTGGTCCTGGGTTTGGTTGTACACAGCCTCACTCCCCTGGCCAGGCTGGACAGACTGGGGAGGGCCGTGTAGGAAGAGCAGGCCCATCCCATGCCTCAGCCTCCTTGGTGCTGCCTCCCAGTAAGTACCACGTGAGGTACTGCAATTCCCCATCACATTTGGAGGCTCCCAGTCTACATGAAACTGGCCAGGAAAACTTAATTCAAAGCTAATAAGTGAAGACTTAACCTACGACCACTTCAGAAAGGTGGCTGACCACTGGCTGGAAGCCAGCGTCCGAGTCCACAGTTCAGAAGTGTTTCTGAGCTGATGTCTTTAGCCCTGGTGTTTTCCTCTGCCCTCTGGCTGGTATCTGCATTGGGCTAGAAAGGGTATGAAAGATGCCCATTAAAGGAACCAGACCCAGTGACTTTGAGGCTTTCAAAACTCCCCCCTAAGTGCAAGTAATTCAGTGTCACAAAGCAAAGGGTGGGATCGGTTGCTGCCCACGATTATTTCTGTGCTGCTCTGCAGACATCACCTTTGTGGGCAGTGTCACACCAAGAGTTTATGATGTTCATTAATTCATAGCAAAATGGTTGCCCTCAAAAAAAAAAAAAAAGGTGTGTCTTTAGTATAAATGCTGCTCATTATCAGAGGGATATATTGACATTTTTAAGAAGCCAGGCAACAAGGTTTTCTTGAGGGTGCGTTACTGTCAGGTGACTTCATCCTCGTCATTCAGTTTTTAGTAGAAAAAGTTCATCTCTGTTTTTAAACATCTTCTACGCAGTCTCTCAACCTATAAGACCAGTTTTAAATCCATACAAGTTACTGAATGCTCACGGCAATGACGACACTAAGTGCCACTCGCCTCACTATTTAAATGTCACAGGGGTTTTGGTCGAATCCTCAGTCATTCAGCTAAAGGTCGAGTTGTACTAAGAGTCAGGCAGCCCGGGTCCGCATCTCAGCGCAGGAACCGGCTTACCAGCTTCACTTACCAGGCTGAGACCTTAGCTGTGTTATCTCACTTAACCCAGTTTCCCTGTTGGTAAAGTGTGGATAGTAAGAGTTAAGGTGGTTTTGAAGAGTAAATGAGATAATGCACTTAAATAAATGGATGCACATCAAGGGCTTAGCAGGGTCTCTCCCTGCTACACATATGCAAACGGCCTGGAGGGGGTCCAGAAACTGGCCCCTGGCAAGTAAGGGGTGGATGGAGGGTGGAAACCTCAGGATTCATGCCTCCAAAACACTGTGCTCCTAAAGCCTCTGCCACCGGGGGGTGGGCATTGGTGGAGCAGTGCTGGGTTCCTCTGGCAGCTGCCCTAAGGACCGGCTTGCACCTCTTGAGCCTTTCAATAGGCCCTTAAGTCTTTTAACCGATCTGGTTGCCCTTTTTTGAATTTGATCCAATCTAAATTCATCCCTAGTGCCTGCGAAATTCACAAGTAAACCTAGTCATAAAGTACAGGGTGTCCAGAGTGTTATGAGGTAGGATTATACTCTCCCTGTCACATGAGGTAATGCTGCTGGGGTGACCCTGAAATGGCATTCATCTGCATTAATGAGACTGGTATCACCAACACGGGTCGCTTACCGCTGTCTGTAGCCTGTCATCCCTGCCTTCAGGTTTCTCGCACGCACGCACAAAAATCCCTCTGCCCTGCTTTGCTTGCACATATAAAATGAGTTGCAGAGTTCAGGCAGCTCTTCATCCTCAGTGCCCCCAACCACACACTACCGTCCCCTAAACAGACAAATGCCCAAGCTGTCTGCTTGGAGAATCATGACCCTCTCCATCTCCTGTGTTTGTGCGTACATCTGGCTTCAGCGCTTTCTAAAGCCCCCGTTTTGTACCTTTGACAAAGCTTCTCTGCTGGCCTCTGAGTTTGTTAAACTTCAGATCCTTGCATTTCATTCACTGTGAAACTATGTTTCAGTTCTAGGAAAAGAACTTCAGGTCTGTGTGCTTGACTCAAACATTTAACGTTAACCCGCCATCTTTGCATTCAGGGTTTTCTTTCACATTTTACATTTTTAAATGATTAATGACAAACTTACAGAGTTAGTCTACCAGGCCCCTCCCTAGTTTTTGTGTAGAATGGCACTGCATCTCATTTCCCCAGACTCTGACTCGGCATAAAATATTTGAAAGTAGATCCGTCTCTCCCTAAGAACCGTATTCTTTATCTATAGGCCTTACAAACTCATGCTGCCTTGCTTTCTTACCTACTTGCTTTGGTGTGTCTCATACAAGATTACAAACTCCTTTAGAATAGAAATGTTGACCTATTTATTTTTATATTCCTATACGTGACGATCATTCAGTAACCGCTTATTGAATGGAATCTTTGGATTTCTGAGCTTTGCTATACCTGCTTTGTAAGGATAATTATTTTGGCAATAGTTATATCGAATTCAAAACTCACAAAACTGCACATTTCCTCAAAGTTAAAATGAGTAGCAAAGCTGCTAATTTAGAATTGCATAATATACATGCATATGTGTATGTGTGTACAGATAGATGTGAGTAGTCTACATACATGTGTGTGTACCTTACAGAAAGAAAGGAAACAGTGAGCAGTTTAGGGATTTGGATGGTGGTTCAGTAGACAGATGTACCCAGTGAGCTTTTAATCACTCTGAATGAGGGGGAGGTAGTGTGGAGACCAGGAAGGACAGTATGTTCTTTCCTTTTTTTTTTCCCTCCCCATTTAGTTCACACTTATGGAAAGGAGGCATTCATTAGTATACTAAGAAAGGCAATGTATTATGTTGGATTCCTTTCAACTGGAAGAAATAAGCAGGAGTGGTTATTTCTCATAAGGTCAGCCAAAAGGTGTGGGGAGGGGTTTTGAACTCTCCCAGAATGCAGGTTGCACGAAGTTGAATAATCCACACTATTTTAAAGCTATATGCCTCTATTATCATATATGCTGCAATACAAGCTAGCTTTTTGGTTTCTTGTCTTTGCTTGTGACCCATATTTTGATAATCACGCATTACTTTGTGTTGCTCAGCCTAAGCATAGTTTAGTTGCCAGCTCACTACCCTCTTGTTTATTTTTAAAGGGTAGAACTTCTCATCTTAATATGCTTTACTCTAGAAGACATTTTCCTTCAGTATTTGCCCAAATGAAAACAGGATTTCCTTCTTGGAGCGGGGTGTGCAGGAAGGCTTAGAAGGGCAGATAGCTAACCTCTGGCTGCATATTCTCCCTGACTCAGAAATTAGATAGGATTATGGATGGTACTTTTCTGAGCAAGATAACATGTTATTTGTAACATGAACCCAGCAAAGGCTATCCCAAAAGTGTGTGTTGTCAGGGACGGGTGGAGTTGGGTTATACCAGTAAGAAAATTGAGGGTTCCTGACAAAGAATTCCAAGGGTAGGAATTCTATACCTAGGAGTCTTCTTGTGAATCTTCTTTAAGAAAGTGAATCTAAGAAAGCAGTCAGGTTCGTTCATATGAAAACCATGAAATCTGTTACAAAAGCCTCATAATATGGAGTACACCTGACCCTCCATTCCTAGTGGAAATGCTTCCAGTGGTCATAGCTCACTGGTGCCCCCTTGCGGCACTCAAGCCACCTCACATGTCGTTGCCTTGGGTAAGACCTCTGCGGTGAACAGGGCAGACTCAGCTTCCAAGAGTGGAAACTTAACCTCCAGGACTGGAGGGCATACGCGTCTTTTAGATTTTAGTCAAGCTTCTTTCTTACTCTTTTTTTTTTTTTTTTTTTTTTTTTTTTTTTTTTTTTTTTTTTTTTTTTTTTTTTTTTTTTTTTTTTTTTTTTTTTTTTTTTTAGGCCAAAGAACTGCCAACTTTAAAGGATAATGATTTCATTAACGAGGGTCAAAAGATTTATATTGATGACAATAACAAAAAGGTATTCCTGGAAAAACTAAAGAAGGATGTCGAGGTAAGAAAAAGAAACTCAGTATAAGGGACGGCCCATTGTATGAATGTCAGCAGTACTGGGTTTTCAGGAGTTCTTAAAACCGTCTATTTAAATCGGCAACCGAGGCAAAAACATATGTTGTACATTAACCAAAGCAGATATAAACAGGTATATCTCATATGTGATCTGGTTTAAAAGAGAAGTGTGCCAATTCGGCAGCTTCCCCCTTTAGAGGACAAACAAAAGAAAGCACGTGGCGTCTTCTGCTGGTCTCCCCTCCCTCCGGTACCCGTCTTCTCTGTTGGGTAGGGGGGTAGACTGACTGCCCACGCTGGGGCCGAGGGGACTGAGTGCATTCTGTCAAAGAGCACAGCGTGTCGACAAGTGGATAGTAACTATCTGAATTCGGGGTTTTCTCCATCTGAACCACATCTTGGTGTTGCAAAACCCAGCCTCAGTTGCTTAATGCTTCATATTTGCGCCAGCCTCTGGAGTTAGTGACGTTGGGCCCATCAAGACAGCCTTGCCACAGCATGGGAATGGCACAAAGGCAGTTTAAGACACCAGGGTCATGGGGGATGTTGTGAGAAATAAACTACTGTGTGGAAATGGGCTTTGAGTCTGTAATGGAGCTCTCTTTGTAAATGCTGTTTTACGAATTAAAAATACACCTTTCCCTGTCTTCCATTTATTGTAATGGCATTGCAGTTCTCCCACCGAACTTCCTTATATATAATTCTTCTAGAAGTAAATTCAGGAAAAACGTTCTTTTCTTGAAGTTTGTTAGGTTACAAAACAGTGCAAGGAGAGTTCTAATTTAAACAGTTACTAAGCTATGTTTTTCTTACCTGTTACTTTTTTTTTTTTTTTTTTTTTTTTGTGGTACGCGGGCCTCTCACTGTTGTGGCCTTTCCCGTTGCGGAGCACAGGCTCTGGACGCGCAGGCTCAGTGGCCATGGCTCATGGGCCCAGCCGCTCCGCGGCATGTGGGATCTTCCCGGACCGGGGCACGAACCTGTGTCCCCTGCATCGGCAGGCGGATTCCCAACCACTGCGCCACCAGGGAAGCCCTCTTAGCTGTTACTTTTGTTCATGTGTGTGCAGTTTTTGTTTTGTTTTGTTTTTTTAACTTTGAAGTAGAGTTCTCCACATACTAGTACAGATCTGCTCCTCAGAGAGGCTTTGTGGAAAGATTTTCCCGTGTCATTAAAAACAAAATGACTTGGGAGTTCCCTGGCGGTCCAGTGGTTAGGACTCGGTTCTTTCACTGCCGGGGCCCAGGTTCCATCCCTGGTCAGGGAAATAAGACGCCACCCCCCGGCAAGCCCAGCCACATGGCCAAAAAAAAAAAAAAAAAAAAAAACCCAAACAAAATGACTTGGGCCGAAGAACAAATGTCATGGATTAGATTATATCCCCCATGAGGGCAGAAGCAGTATTATAATTTTCTTTTTAATCTTCTAACATCTTTCATTGCAAGACATGCAGACTGACCAAATTAGTTCATGGTTATTTTTAGGTTATAAGTTATTTTAAGAAAATTTTTTGCACTTTAACCTACATCATGTATATGCTTTGATTAGAACCTAGATATTGGTTATTTATGAAGGATACAAGTGTCTTTTTAAAAAAATTTTTTCTCCAGTTTCTCATTATTAAGCATTTATGTTTCCTCAGTTGTCAGTGGTTTTTATTAAAATGCATATTAGCTAAGTATTTCCCTTTTACTTTGGGGTCAACTTGATCTGATAAAGTGACACAGGTAGACATGCTCTGAGAATTTTATTCATTATTCTGCAAGTCTTTGATCCCAAGAATAATATTGTTTTAGCAATTATGGTAAATAGGCCTTAGGGTTATCTGATCTGCTAGAAAGATGGTTTTCATCTTTTCTGTCGGCTGTATATTACTATGATATTTAGACCCCACAAATAATGTAACTGAAGCTGTTCAAATTTACAGTTGAATTACACAAGGATTCTCTTCGCCCTTTCATTGTCTCTAACACTGTCTTGATTAGAGGATTTGGATAATTTTAACCCCATCCATGGCTCCCGCACTTAGCTGTTTTCTTGAACTGGAGGCAGGGCATAAGGCGTTCTTTCATTTTAAAAAATTCTCAATGGTCGGTGTCTAGTTTTGAAATTCATGCAGAAGCATTATTAAATTTTTAAGCAGGTAATTATGGTGAAGTAGCCTGACATCTGATCTTGATCATGAGACTAGAATGTAATCTCGTTTCATTTTTCCATCAGGTCCATGCTTTCTAATTTAGCTGGCTGGCCTGTTTAAGTACAGGATTTGGGGGTTGGGGGGCTGACTCAATGCTTTAAGTAAAAGATGAGTTTACTACAGCTCAATAAATATTTTTGTAGGAAAATTAGAACCTAGGGGCTTTTTTCTACATTTGAAGTCCTGTTCTATTCATATGCCGCTCAAAGTACTTTAGTTCTGATAGCTTTACACATGAGTATATGTGAGCCCTTTTCTCCAGAAGAAAGCACTCTACGGAGAGTGAAAAGTCACTTTTGCCCTCTGACCCGCTTCTCGTCAGCTCTGACCAGGGCCCACGCTTATCTCTCGTCGGCTCACACTGGGATCCAAATTTCACACAACGCAAAACTGTGCTTTGTGTCCTGTGGCATCCGCCCCATCATAGGCCATCTCATCCCTCACGTCTTGGGTCGGCGGTGGGGAGGGGAGGGGGGCGCTGCGGGTAGCAGGATGGTTGGCAGCCAACACTTAGAGAGCATGTAGAGCATAAGTCCTTCCTGTGCAGTCATTCTCTCCCTTCATTCTTCTAACTCCTTAAGGCTGAGTGCTGTTATCCCAATTTATGGATGAGAAAACTGAACCCAGAGACACTGTGTAATTTGCTCAAAGACACACAGCTACTAAATTCAGACTGGGATTTGAGGCCACTGGCAGCCACACTCCTAAACTGCTGATATAACATGCAGGTTAAAGATGTTTGTGACAGCACAGTTGAGACTGTTTTCAGATAAAGTACTACAAGAGAGGATTATTATGGCTTTCAACAAGCGATTAAATATAACCTAAATAGGGATGGTTGGAATTTTAATCCTGCATCATAGATGTGTTGGGAGGTGGTGATTCAGCAGAATAAGTGTGTTAATAAACTTAGTAAAAAGTAAATTCAAATCTATTGTAAAGAAGTTTTTTTTTAATTTTATTGAAGTATAGTTGATTTACAGTGTTGTTTGTAAATTTCTATACAGCACAGTGACTCAGTTATATTCTTTTCCATTATGGTTTATCACAGAATACTGAATATATCAGTAGTTCTCTGTGCTGTACAGTAGGACCTTGTTGTTGATCCGCTCTATATATAATAGTCTGCCTCTGCTCATCCCAAACTCCCACTCCTTCCCTCCCCCACCACCCCTCTTGGCAACCACAAATCTATTGTCTGTATCTGTGAGTCTGTTTTTGTTTTGTAGATATATTGATTTGTATCGTAGTTTAGATTCCACATGTAAGTGATATCTTACGGTATTTGTCTTTCTCTTTCTGACTTCACTTAGTATGATAACCTCTACGTCCATCCATGTTGCTACAAATGGCATTATTTAATTCTTTTTGATGGCTGAGTAGTATTCCACTGTATATAAATATATACCATACCTTTATCCATTCATCTGTTGATGGACATTTAGGTTGTTTCCATGTCTTGGCTATTGTAAATAGTGCTATGAACACAGGGGGTGCATGTATCTTTTTGAATTATAGTTTTATCTGGGTATATGCCTAGGAGTAGGATTGCTAGATCATACGGCAACTCTACTTTTAGTTTTTTGAGGAACCTCCATACTGTTCTCCATAGTGGCTGCACCAATTTACATTCCCCCCAACAGTGTAGGAGATTTCCCTTTTCTCCACACCCTCTCCAGCATTTGCTATTTGTAGACTTGTGAATGACGGCCATTCTGACTGGTGTGAGGTGATACCTCATTGTAGTTTTGATTTGTATTTCTCTAATAATTAGAGATGTTGAGCATCTTTTCATCCCTATCAAATTACCCATGACAGTTCCCACAGAACTAGAACAAAGAATCCTAAAATTTATATGGAACCATAAAAGACCCAGAATTGCCAATGTAATCCTGAGGAAAAAGAACAAGCAGGAGGCATAACCCTCCCAGACTTCAGACAATACTACAAAGCTACAGTAATCAAAACAGTGTGGTACTGGCACAAAAACAGACATTAATGAAAAATAGAGAGCCCAGGAAAGAAAACACACACACCTACAATCAATTAATCTTCAACATAGGAGGCAAGAATATAAAATGGGAAAAAGACAGTCTCTTCAGCAAGTGGTGCTGGGAACGTTGGACAGCCCCATGTAAATCAGTGAAGTTAAAACACACCTTCACACCATACACAAAAATAAACTCAAAATGGCTTAAAGACTTAAAAGATATGACACCATAAAAATCCTAGACAAGATCACAGGCAAAACATTCTCTGACATAAATCGTACCAATGTTTTCTTAGGTCAGTCTCCCAAGCCAATAGAAATAAAAACAAAAATAAAAAAATGGGACCTAATCAAACTTACAAGCTTCTTCACAGCAAAGGAAACCCATAAACAAAATGAAGATAACCTATGGGAGAAGATATTTGTAAACAAAGCAACTGACAAGGGTTTAATTTCCAAAGTACACAAACGGCTCATACAACTCATCAACAAAAAAACAAACAACCCAATCAAAAAATGGGAAGACCACCTAAACAGACATTTCTCCAAAGACAACACACAGAAGGAGAGTTTATTAACAGCTCTTTAGCCACAGTTTTCTAGAAGGGTTTGTGTGTGACAGGGCTCATAAAAACGTTGAGGAAGGTACTAGCTCAGATTTGGTATAATGAGGAATTAATTATGAAGGAAGCAGATTAGGTGGGATATTCTGAGGGAAAAAGGCTGATCAAGGTCCGATGGATAATTATTAAGTTGGAAAGCATGGGACCTAGAGATTATAAAGATTTTAAAATCTTCATGCTTTGAAATCTTATGTATTTAGAAATCACTAATTTGAGTTAGAAGCTTAAAGGGATGACAGAAAATAGCAAATGTGTATTAAGTTCCTAATGTTAGCTGGAGGTAGACCCTCCAGGGAGCCCTGAACCCCTCTTCTCTTTGGGGTCTGTCATCTTCAGCCCACAGTAGTTTTGTGATGCCCAGCAGGGACTTTCTCTAGCAAGAATCTCAGGTCTGCTGCTGCCTTGTGTTTCCCTCTACTTTAGAAGAGATTTTAAATGGCGTTTTATGACAATAAGAGCTGAGGAGTCAATGGGCTCTTCAGCACATCTCCCCTCTTGGCCCACCTCACTTGAAGCTGTCCCCATGTTTAAGTTAACTACTTGATGAAAAAAAGGTTTTTACCACAGTAACCACACGGACAATGATAAAACCGCGTCCACTGTTACACGCAAGGCACTTTTCATTGCCTCCGCTTCATTCTCTCTAATCCTTTCCACACCACTGTGAGTTTAGTGGTGTTGTCCCATTTCATAGCTAGAATAACTGAGGCTCAGAGAGGTGAATTTATCATCAAGGCACAGAGCTAGTAACATAAAATTTAACTGCCCACCTGACTCCAAAACTTTTTTTTAAATTTTATTTATCTGATACTTTAATGGGTCACCTTTATCAGCAAAAGCTACACTCTTAACCACTGTGCTGTCCTTGGTCTTTTCTATTTCTGTCTCAGCCGCACAGATTTGAAGATTTATATAATCCCCATTTCTTATATAATCCCCATTTGGGGCTGCAACTGGTTTCCTTGATCTTGGGTATGTCAGAACAACTTCTTGTCAAGAGATGCATTTTTCATTTCACTGATAGTTTAGTGGGTGATGCTGGGAGCTATCTTCACTTTTATTTATTGAATACAAATGTTTCCTTACTGGGAGAGGAGCCTAAGCAGTGGTCTGACCACAGATCAGAGACCCAGGAAAGGAGCTCTGGGCCTAGCTGACGTTGTGAGAGCAGCACAAGTGCCAGGGTAAGACGTGGGCCTGGAGACCCATCCTACTTCATGTGGCAGTTCAGCCCTGGTCATCACCCCTTCCCTGCCTGACCTTTGGCAGGTTAATTACAGGCAGTCCCTTTTGTACTCTCGTACATAAAGCACACCTGATAGTGTATTTGTACGGTCAACCATCTGAAGGTCAAACAAACCTACGTGTTAAAGAGAGATTCTGCTCTGCAGAGCAAAGATATATCGTAAATGGGGCTCCCCTGGTGGCGCAGTGGTTGAGAGTCCACCTGCCGATGCAGGGGACGCGGGTTCATGCTCCGGTCTGGGGGGATCCCGCGTGCCGCTGAGCGGCTCGGCCCGTGGGCCATGGCCGCTGAGCCTGCGCATCCAGAGCCTGCGCGTCCGGAGCCTGCGCTCCGCAACGGGAGAGGCCACAGCAGTGAGAGGCCCGCGTACCGCAAAAAAAAAAAAAAAAAAAAAAAAAATAATATATCGTAAAATGGTCTCTTTTGCTTCCAGTAGGTGCTGCCTCTTGCAGTGTCAAAGGAAGGTCTTTTTGTTGTTGCTTTGTTCTTCGTTTTTATTTGGTTTGGGTGGTTATTTTTCTTAGAGGAAAGGGTCAGGGGAAATTAGGGAGAGGTAAGGAGGACTGGGGAAGCAGCAGCAGGCATCCTGTTCTCTTGTTCAGTAAATACCAAGTAGCTACATCACTTACCTGGGAGTCAGGAGTGCAGTGAGGGTGTCACCGAACCAGGCTCGTTTGTGCCCGACGTGCAAGCCAAACGCAGAGACGCTGAAGTTTGCAGCAGAACGAGTTTGTTCACAAGGCAGCCAAGCGGGAAGAGCAAATCTCAAATTCGCCTCCCCAAGGCAAGGGGCTCGAGGTGTTTATGGGACAAGCAGCACCAGCAGTGCTGTCTGAGGCCCGGGGAAGCGTGAGGAAAGGCGATTGGGAAAAGGTAGGGGAGTCGGCTTTCTGCACGGGTTTAACTAGGTTACTGGCCTCTCTGCACGATCCAAGGGTGGAGCTTTCCATCCTCTGCACCTGTGAAAAGACCCTCACGCATGCCCAGTTGGAGGGTCAGTGGTCCTATCCAGTCTCAATCAACTCAGCTCAAACTAGAAACAGCTGACTCCAAGTTTCTAGAAGGCAGCTGGGCAGATATTGTTTAGGCTACGTGCCCCTTGGAGGACATGCAAGTCTTAAAATACCTTGATTAGTGAAGGCAGGTGAGATGGATTTGACTAATAATGGCAGTTTCAAGGGCAAAATCAGCCAGAGCCCCGGTCCTCATGGGGCTGCGCTGTTTGGGGAAGATAGAAGTTACTCAAGTCATCTAATAAGATGAGTGCGCAGCTAAACCAGGTGTCCTTAGGGGAAAGTGTGCAGTGCACACATGCCCGGCAGGAATCGGGACAGGCTTCCGTGAGCAAGTGCCCTGCAGTTGAGACCTGAAGGTCAAGTGGGAGGTGAAGGGGCGCAGTGAGGGGGCCAGAGGCCAGCACAGGGTTCAAGACGGCCCGAGAGGCGATGAGGTCAAACTACCCAGGTCCCGAGGACAGTGTTAGAGTTTGTTTCCACCCTGTGAGAAACGATACTCCACTTAAAGGTCTTAGGCAGGGGCGTGACCAGATCAAATTCTTCCCTTGCCAAAGGACCAGAAGGGGAAGTTCGGGCAGCATGCAACCTTTGCCACTTCCCAGGGACCTTCCAAGGGCCCAGAAGGAGAAGCAGGGATGGGGCAAGGGGGCTTTTGCCTTGTCACCCTGCAAGCGGAGCAGGACCTGGCCCGACCAAGCCCCACCCACGCTGCACCCACTACACACGTGGGTGGGAGATGTTGCCACCCGGCAGTCCAGCTTCTCCAGCTGTGCCCAGACCTCTGGAGGGCATCCAGGGTACGCAGTGGAGGCGAGGGGAACGGGCCAGAGAGAGCCCCCGGATAAAGGGGCCGGTCGGGGCAGGCACTGTGCTAGGAACGGGAGGGGGTGATGGAGGAGCGTCTCCAGCTCCCACTTCCATCAGGAGGAAGCCCCCCAGCAGGCCTGAAGGACGGCGCTGAGCAGAGACACAGGCATTTGCTGGTTGACTGGGACACTGGTGCTTGTGCTTATTTGTGATGGACGGCATAACACGCTCCTCCACAGAGTGTGCTGCGTTTCAAAGTGCTTTTCACAAGCCGTTCAGAGGCTCCCCTGGAAGCTACGTGGGAGGTCCCCGGTTTCCCCATTAGCCAGTCTTAATTGTTCGGAGAAACGTTTTCTTCCCTGCGACTCCTCCTTGCCAGTCATGCTCTCTGCTCTTTGGTGTAGTACAACCTCCATGTGACAAATGCATCCCTCTCAGCATCCAGCTTTGCATCTCAGGGAGATAATCCTAACTCTGAGCCAGCCTGAAGTGTGAGGCTACAGCTTTGGCTGGAGAAAGTTCCAGGGACCGTGACAGCACCATTAAAGAGGCTCCTGGATGCTCCTGGGGAAATCTTCTCGCCTCTGCCGCCCTTTTGTGAGCTTGCTGTCTTTAACTCTGGGGTTGTGTTTAAGGCATAACTGACCATGTCGCTTCCCACCTTCCAGTTTCTTGCCCAGCTGAAGCTCATGGACTACAGCCTCCTGGTGGGAATCCACGATGTGGAGAGAGCAGAACAGGAAGAAGTGGAGTGTGAAGAGAACGACGGAGAGGAGGAGGGGGAGAGCGACGGCACCCACCCTATTGGAACCCCTCCCGACAGTCCTGGAAATACGCTCAACAGCTCACCGCCCTTGGCTCCCGGCGAGTTTGATCCAAACATTGATGTTTATGGAATTAAATGCCATGAAAGTAAGTTGAGTTACTATCAACTCTTTTTACCATAGGTTGGATTTTTCTTTTTGCATTATCTACTGGTAATCATCACCCCGGTTAAAAGCATGCTGCCCTGAGGCTTCCCTGGTGGCACAGTGGTTGAGAGTCCGCCTGCCGATGCAGGGGACGCGGGTTCGTGCCCCGGTCCGGGAAGATCCCACATGCTGCGGAGCGGCTGGGCCCGTGAGCCATGGCCGCTGAGCCTGCGCGTCCAGAGCCTGTGCTCCGCAATGGGAGAGGCCACGACAGTGAGAGGCCCACGTACCACAAAAAAACAAAACAAAACAAAAAAACGCATGCTGCCCCGTAAGACTCCTTCTCAAGAGTCCTGATCAATTGATTTCGAGACAAAGTATGTTAAAGGTAACTGTAACCTCTGGTTTTGAACTGTAATGTGATGAGGTCCTTGAATTGTGTGATGTTGAGGGAACAGAGTGAAACCACACAAGTGTGTGTTGTACATATACAACACACATATGCACATGCTTGTGTAAATGTCCATACCATATATAAGAAATGTTTTAAAATATTCTTTTTCTTAGCTATCTCTCTTTTTTTTTTTTTTTTTTTTTTTTTTTTACACTGGTCTCTCACTTTT